TGTGTGTGTATTGCACTGCACCTGGTTAATGCCTTGAGCTACCATTGCCATAGTGGCGTATCCAGGGGAAAGGGGCATGGAGGTCATCCCCCCGCCCCGGAAGGCCTAGTTTTCGTTTGTTCTCACTTAATTTGGCAAAATTGATTCAAGTCTTTATATTGGAATTATGTTAAAAAAATTGCATCATATATTTACTACAAAAATAATATACTATATAATAACATATAATATGTTTATTATTTGATAAAATCTATCAATCAACCGATCAGATTTTGTTCAGTTTCCCTGGTCCTTTGAGCAAATGCTGAGATGGCCCCTTGTTTGCTCCTGCTAATTATGGAAAATTATCAATTCCCCTGGCAACATTTCATGTCCCAGTTCCAAACCCAACAACCACATGGAGCTGTTGCAGCGTAAGGGGCCCCATCCCGTACCAGGTCAGACTCGGGCCAAGGCAGCAAAGCAAGTAGATTTTCTCATTCATTTTGCTGGGTCGGGTCGGATCCGGTCGTGGCTGAATGGACGATCGTTAGGTGATTAGAGGCGTGTGCCCGGATTTACCCCCTCGGTTTTGGAGGGTCGACGGTTCGAGGCCTGACCGTGGGCATGGATGTTTGTCATTGTCTTTCGTACTAACGTATTTTGTCGCGAAGGCGCGAGTCTGCTGCCCAGACCAAGGTGCCCGATGTTCTACATCAAATTTTAATGAGTTTTACAAAACATGTGGACGACTGAGATGTGTTAATTCGAGAGAAATTGGGTATAGAATAAGAAATACGAAACCATTCTAAGGGGTGGAGAGTATGAGAGGTATGTGCTGTGTTTAGCACACTAATTGTCTTAATGAAATCTCATCTTCAAAGATAGTTCTTTAATAAGGATCACGTTCAACTTTTCGAATGTATGAGTAGTTTTCGGCACAATTTTTTCTTTTTCTGAGGTAAAGGGCCCACTTTTAAAAATTATTTTTTCAAAAATTACTAACATTACGTAATTATGTGCCTAATCATGTCATAAGAGAAATGTTCTGCTCGCTAGTGTGACATTATTCGGGTTGGAGTAACTGCGGCAGTGAGTTCTTGAGGCGGGTTGGGTTGAATTGTCCGGAATATTTTTAAAATAAGTTTGATGAGAACTTAATTAAGGGCTATGCCAACAATAGAGCGTTATAATATGCATAATATGTCAAAAATTAACTGTATTATGTTTGCAATTTTAAAAATTATTACGGTGTGAATACCAGGGCGCAGTTAGGTAGTACTTAAGCGGTTGCGGGTTTGTTATTGTTAGAACATTTGTAGACAAAGTTGACGAGCACTTAATTCAAGGGGCTATATCTAACAAAGAGTAATAGTGTGCACAAATATGTACAAAAAAATATATGCTCGCTAGTTAAAAAGAATAAACGTTTTTGAATAGAATGCGCGCAGTATACGTACTTGAGCGTTGCGTTTGTAATTGTTGGGGAATTTGTAGTCAAGTTTGACCGGACGCAACTTAATTTTTGCCTTAACTCAACAAATATTCAGGAATAGGGATGTATCCTTTGATCAGCTACCCCTTTTCTCGCAATTAATTCAGTTGGCTTTATATACTCTTCGTTCTCTGAGAGTTGCAATTTGGTCCATTTATTTTTTTACCAATCTTAAATATTATTAATAAATAATTCAAGTAATTTTTAGAGGCCTATAATTCGTGTATAAGTAGTTTTGTTGGAGTTTTATATTTTTTTTGTGTCAACTGGCTATATTCTATGCTGGCCAAACATTGGCTTTTTGAGAAAAGTGCAAGAGGCTAAAATTTAATTTGAGTTACATTATTTAATGGTTGATATTTTATGCTCTTGCGTCCTAACAATAGTATCATTTTCCTTTTAGGCTATTTAGGTCACGTTATTGGCATGGTTCGTGCTTTACAAAACATGATTTGATAATACAATTTTTCAACCTTAAAAAGCGCTCCTCCCTGAAAAATCACAGTTTTTGTTACACCTTTTTCCCAACTGGTGCCGGGTTAGAGGCTAGTTTTCTTTGTTCTGCCAATAGTGAGCGAACTATTGCTTTATGGATAGGTTATCTCTCACTTGCGGGGGCACCGCCTCAGAGAGAATCTCTGAGACAATCTCTAACTCCCGAGCAAAATTTGATAGTTTAGTTGATGTGAGTGAGTGAGTGAGTGGAGTGAGTGGGTGGAGTGAGTGAGTGAGTGAGTGGGGGAGTGAGTGAGAGTGAGTGAGTGGAGGGGTGGGTGAGTGAGTGAGTGAGTGAGTGAGTGAAGTGAGTTGAGTGGTTGAAGTGATGGCGTGAGTGAGGTGAGTGAGTGCGTTTGAGGTGAGTGAGGTGAGTGAGTGAGGTGGTGAGTGAGTGGAGTGGGCGTGCGTGAGTGGTGCATGGTTGCCGTGAGTGAGTGAGTGAGTGAGTGAGTGTTGAGTGAGTGAGTTGAGTGAGTGGAGTAGTGCCGTGGTGAGGGTGAGTGCGTGCGTGCGTGTGTGTTGTGTGGTGTGTGTATTGCACTGGCACCTTGGTTTAATGCTTGCAGCTACCATCCATATTGGCGTATGCCAGGGGAAAGGGCATGGAGGGTCATTCCCCCGCCCCCGGAAGGCCTAGTATTCGTTTGTTCTCACTTAACTTTGGGCAAAAATTGATCCAAAGTCTCTTTATTTGGAATTAGTTAAAAAATTGCATTCATATATTTCTACACAAAAATAAATATACTATATAATAACAATATATGTTTATTTATTGATAAAATCTATCCAATCAACCGATCAGAATTTGGTTCCAGTTTCCCTGGTCTTTTGAGCAAATGCTGAGATGGCCCCTTGTTTGCTCCTGAACAGTAATATAGACTTCGCTCCACCAGGGCATTCATATGACTTTCGTCAAACAAGATTGTAATTGGTATATGTGACTCAATAATATTATTATTATATTATTATTAATTTATTATTATTATTATTATTATTATTATTATTGATCCCCTGCGCAAAAAAGCCAGGGATCCGCCGCCCTTGGCTGTATTCGGGCCCGGGCGGGCACCCCCACAGGGCTGTTGGGGAATGTAGTTTGTTTTGTTAATCCTTGCGTTCGAACCGGCCGAAGCGCTG